ACTGCGGTTCAAAGTGCAAAAGTGCGATGGACCGAGCCGTTTGGACTTTGCAGCCGAGTGCCTCTCTGCGTGTGTGCGTTCGGAGCCGAGCCTTGCCTCTCTCTTGAAGGGATTGGGGTGAGTGCAGGGATTCGACAAAGGCACGCCCCATCGCAAAAAGAGTGGACTCGGGATGTTGATGATTGGAGTTTGAATTAAACCTTGTGATTTTAATTTGATATGTATTCTGGAGAATACTATTCTGAATATGCAACTGAATATGAGACTAAGTCTCATACATCATCGCGTCAAGCAATAGAGGAATAAGTGGCTACTCCCAGTGGGATGAACACCTTATTCCTATATGCTTGAATTTCTTTGTTGAAATTAGCGGTGATTTTGTTGCGTAAATTTTCTTTTGCTACTCGCAAAATTTTAAAATTTTCCCATGCAGTTGACGGTTGCAAATATGAAGCTTGGCCGTTCATGCATGCACACAGTGGCTCTGGCTTGGTGTGGAAAATTTTTGACCCACCCATCCCAACCCTGTATTTGTTGCCTAACCCTGCCGTTTGAGTGCAGGGATTCGACAAAGGCACGCCCCATTGCAAAAAGAGTGGACTCGGGATGTTGATGATTGGAGTTTGAATTAAACCTTGTGATTTTAATTTGATATGTATTCTGGAGAATACTATTCTGAATATGCAACTGAATATGAGACTAAGTCTCATACATCATCGCGTCAAGCAATAGAGGAATAAGGAATTTTTCTTGCCAGAGCTCGAGATGCTGACTTGAAGATTTTGCATGCAAATGCGCACCTTGTTGGTTTGTACCGCAGTGAGCTTGATCGCAATTAGCGCATGTTTTTGCATAAGTAGCAGTGTACCTTGCTTGGGCAACTTGCCGGAGGTGCAGTAGTCTGTGAAGTCCCCGCTTGGTCATTCGTGATGGGGGATGGATCTGTGTTTAAAAGATTGCTTCAGTTTGATATAGTCCGCTTTCATTATCAAACTGGAGCAGATGCTGGGAATGCAAAACTGCAGCCCCAATGGCCGCTCAATATGACTGTTCTCGCGGTCGCTTAGCGTCTACTGGATGCTGCGCTCTCAAAGTCAAAAGTCAAAGTCAAAGTCACCAGGCTTGCGTCTTTTGACTAAACCATGATATGAATGCTACATACACCGCAAAACTCTTCAAGCGCCGGCGGGTGTATTCTTGTGTGTGTGGGTACATTGGAGATGGCCCAGTTGCATTGAGATGAGGATTTCAGTGCACTTTGTGTGTGATGGGCAGCGCAATGCTGCTGGAGATTTCTCTGCAATCTGTACCTTTGGGTCTGCTTGTGTCGTGCAACCGTTGTGACGCCTACGCTGTGGTGAATCAAGCGTCCGTGTTCCCTGGAGTTTCCGGCTTCCCGGAATGCAGCGTTGTGTAGTTTGTACAGCCTAGCTTGTTCGCCGTTCACTCCAGCACTGTTTGATGTTGAACTTTGGTTGTTTCCCTTTGCATCGATTTTACGTTGTTGCTTGGGGCGTTTTTGGAGCGTGAAATGCTTTTTCCATCAGTTGAGTTCTAAGCCTTTTGAATTATGGAGGCGGGGTGACAAACCTTTTGTACATGCATGTACATTGTACACTTCCCCAGATTTTGTGTCCTAGATTAGTGTTTACTTTGCTCTGCTGAACATGCTGAGCTGGAGCTTTTATCCACAGGCATTATAGTGTTCGATGGAAAATATTCAAGATGACAACCAGGAGGAGGAGACCCGTTTCAACAGGACCGTCTTTAAGCAGGCATGCAGCAACAAGATGCAGTGGTTGAAGGATGAATGAGCAGAGAGAGAACGTAAATCCTAGGATGCACGCGCCAAGTGGAAGTGGATTAATTCATTCCGTTTTGATTACAAGGATTACAGGGAGCGGCCAGTGTCGAAGTGTCGATCAAGGATACCAAGCGTCGCCCAGTTAGCCAGATGCGCCAAGCGCAGTCTTTTGCGACACATCTTGCCGAGCAATGAGCCCCACCTTTGCAGACATATACAGGCTGCCCCGGACCCCATTGTCCAGGAGCCCCTTGTCACCACCGACTGGTTAATGAGGGAGGGTTCAACGCGGGCCTCTGTGAAGTGGCCCGCAACAAGGCAACAGGGGTACACCACCATTTCACTAAGGTATGGCAATGGCTCACCGACACAACCGTGCCTGCCTCCCTGACACCCTCGAAGAAGCCTGCACAGCTGGCATGATCCCATAGGAGTGGCAATAAAACACTATCCGTGAAGACATACAAGGACAAGGGCCAGCCGTCAGAAATTGCGAGCTGGCTTTGTCGACAAGTGCATTGTGCAGACAAAGGCGGGATTGATGAACGGAGTGCTGCCTTTGGCGCAACAACCCGCATGCAATGATGCTGACGCGAACCCTTTCACAACTAATGATGGTAGGGCTTGGGACAGAACATGCAGTCAAACATGTTCAGCGCATTCGTTCCACGCATTTATGCCACAAAGGCATGAAAGCATTGGCGCACAATTTTGCTCAAGCAGACAATCTGCAACAACAGATTACCCTTAATAGTAACAGGTGGCCGGGCTAGAGTTTTAACCCACCCCTGGTTCCTTTTACTGGTTTTCGGGTTTGTGTCTCTATTGATTCTCTTGCCGGTTTTGGAGGCTCTATATTGCATATACATGCATATATTTGGGTAGGCCCGTGGGACATTTTTTGCTTTCCCTAATGGCTTTAATATCAGACCCAATCTGGGTTGGCCCCTGCCACATGTTGTGGTTTTTGTGGATATCTAGCTATAGCAAAGATTTTCAGCAGGTTTGCGAGGATTAAATGGGTGTTGATTTGTGGCTTTGTGGGCAACCCCACGTGCTTGTGGTTGTCGAAGGTTGAAAAGGTTTACCGATTGTAAGTCCATCTCAAATTTGTGAAGCTTTGCCCACTTGGAGTTGTCTTTTCTCAGCATGTTTTTGCACAGCGGATCCGGAAAATTCAACAAAATCATTGCAGAAACAAATTCAGCAAAATTGTCCCCCATAGTCCTGGATCCCACACAAAAAACTTGTCAGATTGTTGCGTGGATTGCGCGCATGAATCTTAGTATGTGTGCGTTGAAATGGCTCGGCAGTACTTGTTTCCCACAAATCGAAAGATTGGATATGATTGGTTGATGTCACTCATGAACGGTTCGATTTTCAAAATTTTGTCGTCGCGTGGACATTTTGGATATTTAGGTGGACAGCATTTCCAACAGCGGAGTACTTGTTTTGAAATCTTCATGGTCAACGCGTTAAAAAAATGGAGTCGTACGCAATCGGCCCAAGTACAAAGAGCAACCAGGAAAATGACAGTCCCACCCGCCCACCCCAGTGTTAGGTGTGTCGCAAACAACAATAGTCAAATTTGGGAAAGTTTATTGTCACCTTTGAAGCGTTCAATGCCGAAAAATGTTCACCGAGCGCCCCATGCCCCTGATGATGAAGATGAAGCCGTGTTCCTGCACGATGAACATGTCAAATTGCAGCGCACGTGCGTGAACTTTAGCACGATGATGTTGACATACCACTACAGCATTTTGATTTTGCCATTTGCGAACTCATGTTCGATTGGAAGCGTTCTTGGTGAAACTTGGCTCTGACAATAGTTTGAGAGAAAATGATCGCCAGATTCCACATCAGCAAATATGTTCGTGTAAGAGGGCATTGCCTGGCTTCGGTCATCAGCAGGGAGTTAGTTCGTGGTTGTAACAGGCCCCAATCATTTCATCAACGTGCATCCACACGTGATTATTTCACAGCTGTTCCCGTCCGACATATAACTGAGATATATATCGCGTGGCCTACGTGCAAAGCCACATGGCCACAGATTTGGTCGACTGGATCAGTTGCCTGGATGGCATGATTTGCACATGCATAGGCCAAGATTTGTTTTGCCAATGTGTTTCGGACGTACGTACATGGGCAATGACTTTGGTTATGTTCAAAAAGCGCAGGGGTCGAAGTGAAATTGTTCGTGCAGCTTAAATGGTGCGACCCGAAGTATGGGGAACCTTAAAAAAACGGGAGCCTGAAACCCCAAAACCCAAACGTCCCCATGCAGACTTCAAACTTCCTGAGAGACGTCATTGCTGAGGTCGACAAGCACAGATTGGCGGTGATGCTCGCCAGGGCTTGGTCCGGGCAGCGAGACGGTGCGGTTCGGTGACAGCCAACACGGGTGTTGGATTCAATTGAAGTCAATTATTGAACGGTTTTAGATGGAACCCGTCAGAAAGCATGACAAAATTGTTTTGTGCATTTCGGGAATAAATGTGTTCTAGGTTAGATGGCACCGTAGGCTGCGTTGTCCACAAGGCTGACATGTGTTGTTTGAGGAGCTTAGTCGAATATGTTGCAAACATGTCCGTGCGTCGATGTTGTTGCCGACTTGTTGATAGAAACGTGTTGTTCAATTGACTTGGAAGAGGCATGCCTGGGAAATGCAGACGTTTGCTGCCGGAAGCTAAGGTTTGTTGGCTGGGTGCATCGTTTTTAACCTTCGGCTCTCTGTGGTGAGCTTGGCACAGGTTCAAGCTTGTAATTCAAGACAAGGTTTATTTGGCATTACATCACTTACGACATGTTTTTATACGTCAGGCGCATGTGGAACATTGACAATCATCACATTGGGCACTGCACAGTACTCTGCGCGAAGCAACTTTGTGCGTTTCATTGTTTACTGCTTGGAAGCTGTCGTGCAATGTGGTGCGATGGTCTTTGTGGCAAGCAGCTATGGCAGGGATTGCAAATGATCAGGCAAATAGTTTGGATGCGACAGCATGAATGGACAGCAGAAAATTGACGATGGTGCATCCCAATGCCCTCGGCAGATATCGAGTGACCCACTGAGCGTGGAAAGCCTCGTCCAAAGGCACGAGAACAGGTTATTCCTGCTGCAACGGTTGAATGGCTTGCGACAGCAGATTCAGAGCCTTGAGCAGGAAGTATCTGATATCGAGTGCATGGTGAATAGTTTGCCATATGCACCCGCTGGCATGGCATATGGGCATGGTCGACGCGCAGCACCCTGCCATTTCCACGTTGCTGCGACGGCAGGCTACGTGCATTGCTCAAAGAGCCTTCGTGACTTTGGATGACTGAAATCAGTGACATTCTCCAGAGTGGCAAGTGAGGTTAGACTAAAACTCATGTATCCAGCTCTCGCCTGTGAGTATGACACTGCCAGCGTGAGAGTTCCGCTACACGGCAATCATTGATTGATTGATTAATTGATTGATTGATTGATTGATTGATTGGCTTTGGTCTTGCTTTGTGTGCGTTGTCTGACAGGCGCAGGTGGCATCGCCTTGCCTCTGGCTGTTGGCATCGTGCACCCTTTGGACACAGTTCGCACTACCATGCAGGCGGCTGCTGCTTGGCTGCTTTACGGAGAGACCTTGCAGCATATGTCTCCTGCAGTGTGATGGTAGGTCCGGTGACTTTGCTTTACAGGCCTCCACCCATGGCTTCTCGCACTCTCTTCGCAGCTTGGGATGGCGTGGCCTGAGCCGTGGCTTTGTGCTGAGCCTTGCTTGGGCTTCGCCGCAGGGGGCAATACGGATGGCCAGCTACGAGGCGTCCAAGGAAGTGCTGCTGGACAAGTTCTACTTCAAAGCCCTCGGCATAGCCGTTTCGGCAATCACTGCTGACTTTGCGAGCAGCGTTGTCAAGGTGCCGCGGGAGCTCATTACACAAAGAATGCAAACTGGGCAGTACCAGTCCAGCTGGCAGGCAGTGCGCAGCATTTTTCGGGAAGAGGGCATTGCAGGTTTTTTCCGAGGATATGCTTCCACTGCTTCTCGCGATGCTCCGTTCATGCTGCTGCTTTTTCTCTCCTACGAGCAGTTCAAATCCTGGAAGATTCGTTTGACCTTCTCCCAGCAGGGTCCGGCTGAGATCTTCGCGCCGTGGTCAGATGCCGAGACAGTAACACGGCATTGTTGGTAACAAGATGTAACAAGGGTTCCCCGCAGTTGATAGCAGCTGACAGCTGTTGTAGCCTGGTAGGCAAAATGCTTCTGCCACAAGGTGCTTTGGGGAGGCATCTCCGGCACTCTGGCAGCTTGGTTGACGACCCCGTTTGACGTCATCAAGACTCGAATCATGACCTCGCAGACGCCGATCTCCTTCCACGATGCGCTTCGATCTGTTGGACCAGCTGGGCTTTTCCGTGGAGCTGGACCACGGAGCGCGTGGTGGTTCTGTGTCAGCTCTATCTTTTTTGCAAGCTACGAGCGGCTCAGGGCAACCCTTCAGCAGCATGTAGACCCAGTCTGAGCAGGAGGTGCGCTCCCAAAAAGAAGTTTATGCTCATTTGCTTGCCGCTGGATGATAGCCAGACGTTCCCGCTGTGTCCGTTGGCAAGACTACTCGCACACTTGTGCTTCAGGCTTGCATTATACTCCCTTCTGTGAGAAGACAGTATAGTGAAGTTTAGACGAGTACTGCCCACGCCAACATTAAGGAGATCATTTGTGGTGAGCCGCAGCTTCACTCCGATCTGATCGAGAGCTGCAGCCCCAATGAGGTCCGTGGTTTACGAAAAGCATGCCACTTTACGTTGGATTCTTTTCTCTTCGTAGCATTCGTGGTACTGGCAGGCATAGTACATTCAGTAACCGGCACCACACTGGCGACCTCAAACATCATGCATCTTTTGTCTTTTGTGCCCATATGAGGGGTATCAGGGGCAGGCAACCCAATTCCCAGAAAGCTCAGATGGCCCGTACTGATACAACACCCAGAGATGCTTGTGCACGTATGGGACCATAGCTTATGAGATCCTCCGGGGAGGTTGGTGGATGTCGATAGTAGATTTCCATTTCAGTATCCTTTTGATTGGCCTTTGGAGTCTCCACGATTGGTCTCTATATCCCGGTGATATCCCAAAGGTCCGCTCATGTACCGTTATGTAACTTTTCATATCCTTGTATGACCTTACAAACCGGCACATATCCCAGTACATCCCTCCATTTGAGTCCTTGACATGACCCGGCCCTTGGCCGCATCCTATCCAGTTTAGCCAATTTGGTGCTACTTCTGCAGCTTTGCTACAGGGACTTCAATCACTATCACTGTTACTGTTACCATAGCAGAGCATTGCTGCTACCACTAAACGATGTCCTCCTCCTTGGCAGATTGCAGTGCTGAGCCGCGCTTGGCGTCTGGACTTTGGAGCGCCGTCGCCACGGCGTGTGGCGCGAAGGACGCCCCCCTGGTGTGGTATACTTGCTTTATGATGAGAACTGCCCTGCAGAAGGGAGGAAGTATCGCAAATTTGTGGGAGATGCCATGCTTGGGCTCGTGTACCAGGTAAGGGTCCTGCAACGGTACTATCAAGGGACCGGATGACAATCAGTCGTGGGAATTATTGAAAGCTGCCTGATCCTGTGCCCCGCCAATCCTCAGACAGATTCTCAAGTCCGAAACTGGCTTCTGCGAAAAAATCACTATTGCTGCCATCTGTTGGATCTGCCATCATCATTCTGCAAAAAGGGTGATTTTGTAACTTCAAGACTGCGATCGGCAAACCTTAACTTTACCTGTCCCATCCTGTCCCCTTTTGCAGGTCAGACAACCGGGAGCACCTGCAGGACACAAGCTTGGGAAACAGTGCACCTCTTGCTGGAATCTAGAATCTACATGCATCTTCGAAGCTTTCCAATACGTGCCGCAGTTTCTGAGCTTCACGTTCCGGGGAATCACAGGAAGGGAAGACTTGGGGAGGCTCTTCGTTTTTCGTTGTAAGCTCAACATGTACGCAGGAGCGGCAGCATTACGTCGGTGGCCGTGAGCACATGTACATGCCCGGTACCAAGAGCTGCTGGCTTTGTCTTTTGGGGGAAGGCACCGCAATGAGACCAGCTTTCAGTCGGTCATGGAAGCGGGCCGCTTCAGGTTGGATGGCTATCTTGCAGCTGACGATGAAAAGTTTGAGGTGCAGGGTTTTGGGCTGTGTCTTCAGAACCGTGAACAGGTTCTTAGCCATGTGTCATCTCTAGCTCGGAGCATGTATCTTGAATGATTTCCATGTTTCATGGCGGACTGGTGCGCGCATCGTGCTCTGGACACTCGCTGCTAAAGTACGATGCGAATTCGTAGTCATGATGTTGAACTGTGAAGATGAGATATGTAGCATACGGTTTTGTAGCAGAAAGCGTGAACTTACCCTGACAGCAGAATCGTCGACGCATCGCCACCCCGCCCTATGGTCAGCGGCCTGGGCCGTGCGAAGTCGGGCCCTTGAAGAGCTTTGCCAGGCTTCCTTCGCCTTGCCAGCAGCAGCCTCCTCCACAACCTACCTGTTTTGTTACGTCTTGAATATGGTGGTTTACCTAAATGGGGACACCCCAACACAGACCTCAATTTACTATAGTCCTTATTATAGGGACCCCCAAACAGTCATTTTGGGAAACTCTAAACCCTAAACCCTATATCCCCGTCTAAAGCTCCTATTTCTCCTTGTAACACCCAAAATAGTACCCTTAATTTTGGAAAACCCTAAACCCAAAACTCCAAACCCATATAACCTTATAGAACCCATCTAAACAGCATGAGAGAGGTGTTTGTTTGCTTTGAGATTGCCAGGCGTTGAGCCATGCTTGCGTGCTACATGAAAAGACATTCTAGGTTTCAAGGCTCAACATTTTTGACTCATGCTTTAGTATGTTTCAGTCAAGTGGGGGTTTCCCAAGATTTGGGGTACCAACATGGGAGTCCCTGCAATGAGGATTTATAGTATTTTAGGGTCTATATTGGGTTCCCCTATCTTGGGAAACTACCAAGTATGCCAGTCCTGACTGCATCTGATTATGTGGTTCTTGTGGATGTACGACTGATAGAAGCCAAAATCAAGCAAAAAGTTATGACTTACAACTCATCCTTCCCGTGTCTTGCATGAACAAACAGGTGCCGACTGCATCTGAACAACGGAACTGAGGAGGTGGTAGCATGCCCTCTCTTGTTAGCAGAATCCTCAACGGAAAGTAGACGGCAGAAGTCTTTTTATCAAGCTCACGGCTGCCATGGATGGATGAACTTGACCTGAAGCATGCCGGGAATGTCGGATGCGATGAGGGAGGCTCATGGCATGCACGGATGCCATAGCTGTACTCGAGCACTCAACCTTGTGGGTGTTACAGCATGTGACTTTTGATCACAAGCCTTTCCCTGCACATCCAAGTGTGTGACTCCTTTCTTCTTGTAGGCTGGCTCCTGGGGAAGCACCTGGCAACCCGGCCGGGAGTCTGGCAAAATTGACGCTTTTTTCCTCAGGCTGTTGATCCTGTCGTTACAACTTGCAGCTTCATCCTGCAATCTTGTGTTGACTGAGGAAGAGCCCGAACCAACTGCAGGATGTTGTGACCCCGGAGGCCAAAGAGTCTTTTGGGGACATTGGCCCGCAGTTGAAGGACGGGAAGCTTACCATGCATTTCACGGTTGCGCTATGACGTTCGTGTGCAGGATTTGAAAAACACTGCAATGGGGGGCTTGATGGGCCTCCACAAAAACAAGCCAGATGAGGGTTTCATGCGTGCGGCGATGGCAGCAAGTGCTCCTTGGAACTGTAACGAAAGTAAATCTGCTGTTTCAAGTACTTTTCCTCGGCACCGAGTTCTGCGGAGTTTGTTGTCTTATTTGCGCACAGCTTGCTCTCGAGGAATCCAAGCAGTAGGGAAACTTCAAGCAATGCTGATGTGCAAGGAATTTCCCAAGTACTTCCACCACACCAATTCGCATAGGATTGGTGGAACCCATCGTCGAGGGCAGCCTGGCAAATGCAGCCTCTTGCAGGCGTGTCAAGGCTTTGCAACGGACAGCTGCTGGCTGCAGTTTCTATTCTAAGGTACCTGCCAATGACGCCCGCACAGGCAATTGCGTTCTCCAGGTCAGATCCTCCAAGGGATGGTGAAGCATGGTGGGGCCATACCCCTATATATAATCCCTATATAACCCCATTATAGTAGTTTCCATTTTATTTTCCATTAGCCCAATATAACCCCAGTATTACCCCAATAAGTTAGCCCAGATAATAGAGTTTAGTTCTCGGGCTGGGGCTGGGAGCTGATATGGGTTGCAGTAGGAAACAGTTGCCAACAATAGGAGGCGTCTTGCTGCTTGTCTCAAATTCCCAGTACGAAGTCGTAGGAAGTCAAAGGAAGTGCCGAGTCTCTGCATGGATCCTGTGTCAGGAGCGACAGAGTGTCTTGACTGCAACAGGACACGTCTTGCGCTTCACTTTGTCGAAGTAATTGGAGTGGATGGTGGATCTAACTCGATTCCAACATTCCATTTCCTAGTGTGACGAGTCTGCGGGCACTGGTGGCGTTTTTCAAGCGTGTTTTTCAAGCATGGACAGAGACGTGTGCCTGACCTTCACGCCAGCAGGTGCCTTGCGTGGTGCAGTACTTGGAAGGAAGATACCGCACGCCGCTGGCATGCATCATAGCACTTCCTACAACATTTGCGGTGTTGTGAAGCAACGGTGATTTATAGTAGTCCTTATGTGAGCCCCAATCATACAGTAGTTTCCATTTTCTTTCCCATTCTTGTTTGCCCGAAACTTTTTTCCGATTGGCAGTTTCATGACGGAGGCTGAAGCAGCTGATGGCGCAGACGCAGCTGGTGGCATCTGCGGAGGATCCATACAGGCCTTAAGAGCTTGCACCGCCTAGCCAGAGAGCTGTCAAAGTTACCGATCGCTCTGTCGTGCAAGTTCCGTTTTAAAGTCAAGCGTGCATGTGGGACCAGACAAGGCCCAGAGTCACTCCACCACCAACAGGTTCCAGGAGCTGGTTCGCGCGGAGGAGCTCTCGAATTTCCTAAATCGCGCCGACAACTCCGTGATATCCAGAGAGGAAATCTCGAAGACGCTTGCATGCAGAGTGTTGCATTTTCGGAGGTCTTTCATCTGCAGTGGGAGTAAACGTCTCCCGTCCATTCCAAGGTTGGGAGAAGCGTTGGCTGCAACTTTAAATGCAGGTGGCCAGCCACTTCACTAAAGTGTGTGGTGTGTGTATTCAGACATGTATTCTCACCTTCTAAGTCTTCTAGTCAATGCAAAGCCATCTGTCTTGTTGTCAACGGGTCTGCGATGTGTGGTCTGCTTGCTGAGCTGCGTCCCGATCCAAGGGCAGCCATGATGTTGCTTGTGGCCTTGCATGTTTCTACCTTGACCTGCACTCTTCTGAAGCAACCTTCGAGAAGTGATGCATGAATATTAGAAGCAGCGCAGTGTGGTGCTGCAGGACGTGGAGCACGCACAGACTACACGGCGCCACTGAAGCACTCCGAGGAGAAGGCGGTCAGGTTTGATAAATCATTCTATGGAAGTGGAACCCGTCGTCCAGTTCCAGGAACAAGCTACAAAACAGTCCAACTTTGATTGAGTAGTACTTCGATTGGGGATAGTGCCATTCCCGGTATAGAAAAAAGATTTGCGCCTTTTGACAGTTACATGTATCGTATTCTATGCGAGGAATTTGTGTCTATTTGGGTCAAGCAGCAAACCTCTGATTCATCAGCATCGGCATGTGAAAGGTGTCCCTGACTCTTTCTGATGGCATTGGGATGACTCAGCAGGTTAGGGCCTTAGCTGGCTACCATAGTTGTCTCTGCGTGTTGTGGCTAGCAGACCAATGTGTGTGCGAAGGCCATGAATGATGTCGTGGAAGCTTTGCTGCACTTTACTTTCATTTTCCATGTCCTTCATTTCAAATTGTCGTCTTGTGGAGTGCTGATGCTCGGCATCTGCAGAGGGAAGCCTTTCTCCAAGGCATATGCGTTTCGCTGCCGTGCCACGACTTTCCTGATGCTTTGACAACTGGCGAGTCAGATGTTAATGTTCGTGTGGCCCATGCCCGTCACTGAGGGGATGTGTTTGGTCTGTTGCTTAATTTGTTGTTTTTTTTTTCTTCGGCCGGCGTCTCGAAGCTAACTTGCTTGCAGCCACAGATTCGATAATGTATGCATCGGCTTTGCAGATCTGAGCAAGGGAGTGATACCGAAAAGCAGTAGCCATGATTGTTACCATTGAAATTATTTGCATCATTGTTTTTTTTTATTATGGTTTGTATTATTTTTACCCTGGACCCTAAACAGCAGCTCCCAAGAAGGGAGCTGGCTCCGGGATCTGCAAGCCCTTCGTCTTGATGCTTAATCGCTTTGTGCGCAAAAAACAGCCGTCATGTCAGGGCTTTTGCTACATCACCCCTGTTGGCCAACATCCCAGCTGCGGGAAGTGAGACATTCCAAGACTTCATGAGGGGTTCCTTGGCTTGGGGTCTCTCTACATGGGTGGTTGTCAAAATTATCGTCCCTTTTTGGGTACCCTAAATATTAGGTGCCGTATTATAATAGGGACCCCAAAAGTGACAACCACCTATATAGTCCACTGATCATCGCTACAAACACTCGTCATCGCCTAGGGCTTAGAGCACCCATGCTTCTAAAAAGAAGGCCTGGCCGGATGACCACCGCTACCATCGTCATGATGATCAGAGGCAGTGCTTAGATTCTGGAAGAAAAGTCAAAGCATTCGGGGTGTTTTTCACGCTGATATCCAGAATGGACCGCAATGCCGAAATGATTGGCTGCTGCCAGGCCTGTCGTAGTTCGCAGCGATTGGAGTGAGAAGGCGGGGCCGTGCAGCTTCAACAAGTTTCTGCTGTCACCAAGGCAGCTGCTGACCTCATGCTCTCGTTAGCACGGCTGTGCCGCCTCGTCTCACCAAGACAGGTATCGAAGCGCTGCCCAGCTTGTGGTGCAACCTTCCTGCAACTGGTCTCTATTTGGGAAACCGGCTTGCTCTGAGAAGGGGAAAGGAAAGATTGAACCGGTCTACGCAAGGCCAGATGATCGCTTTTGCCGCCAGTGTGGTCGACGCCGGTTCGGCAACACTCCAGCGGAGGCATGGACCATCAGTGCTTGAGATGGGAAATTTGGTTCAGAGATGGGTCTTTGCTGATTGCAAGGTTCCTGTATCTCCTCAGAAGGCAGCGCCAGAAGAAGGACAGAGTAAATCAACAGGGCCTGAATGCACATGTCCTCTGGCATTGTGCAAGATGTTTGATCTGGGAGGAGCTGTCCTCGAGCCTTCGCCCAGTCCGGCCAACGGGAAGGAGAAAAAGGTGCGCTTAGGGACTGCTTTAGAGATGAACCCAGAGCGGAATGAGCTGCCAGAGCTCCTGCTTGATGCGTGCCTCTCATGCGGAGTCCCAAATCTACGTCAGCCCTCTCCGCAGGAGACTCCACCTGCCCGCAAGGACGGCAACGAAGGGAGTGGAAGCAATGCAGATTTTTCGCTTACTGACGGGTTGAAGTTTCCTCTTGTCTCGTGCTCATGCAGCTGTTGCCAGCAGGCAGAAAGTAGCAGGCAGCTGCCCTTGTTCGGCAGGAGTTGCGCTTCGAGAAAGCAAAAGAAGATGAGATTGTGACAAGCCCTGTCCGTTTCTCCCCAGACGCAGTGTCCTCAGTCGGCGTCATGCTTTGACTCTTTGTCCGCGTTTTCTGAGAGAGGTTTAAGTAGTGTTTAAGTGATGCTCGACTGTTCTGCTACTAGAGAAGTGACCCACACGTCACTGGAAGGATTTCCTGGAACCCCAACTTCGGAATTTCTTGAGCCACAGGAACCCTCATCCGCTTGTGCTCTTGCGTCTGCGGTGGATGGGTCTTCCGTCTTCGTGGTTGACAGAGGTCTTGGCCTCAGCTTGGAGCGGTCGATTTCATCTTCGGCCAAACATGCCATGCGCACCATGTTCTAAAATCCGAAACTTTGTACTCAAACTGTGCATGCGCATATGTACCAAAGGTGCTTGGCAGGTGCTCCTAGCTTCTATTTGTCATGTGACACCTTTCAAGCAGACTCGCCCATCTTTACTACTTGGAAGCAGCTTCCTAGGGTCCATGCAAGGTGGTTTGATGCGATTTGATCTCCCAGACTTGCCACTCGGCCAGCATCCAGACCTCTCCTCCAAATTTTTCAGATCCCGCGCCCGCTGTGCTCAGAACATGGCAACCTGAGGCTCATCCCAGATGGGCTGGTAATCATGCAGGTTATCCGCCAGGTCATCCACAATACCCCCACGCCGTAAACCCAAATCTCCCCAAACCTGAAATCCGCGTCTCCTCACCCAAATCCCTTATCCTGTGAAGCCTGACCTAAACCCTGATCCTCCTTTTGCATTGGGGAGATCATCCTCCCAACTATCCACGTTGGCGCAGGAAGTGTGAGTGTTGAACCGTGAGCCCTGGACCCTGGTCCCCCGCAGACGATTCCCAAACCCTGAACCCTGGATACCCCATATCTGCAAGCTAACCCTCAACCCAAAGCCCTCAACCCCTATACAAACCCCACATCCCTTAACCCACAATTATGAAGTAGTTTCGATTCTTTGGTCTAGCCCTAAACACAAAACCACAGAAACCACTTCCAGGCGTCTTGTGGCCTCAGCGCCCTACACAGGCGTAGCACTGATCATGGTGGTTCTTCCTGCGTGCAAGCTTCTCATAAGTCTACACATTTTCATCAGAATCTCTATATGAAACAGCATACATGTACGTGTGTGTAACTGTTTGTATACATGATGTACCTACGTATGCATGCATTTGCCGTCTTTCCAAGAGGTTAGAGCTAGAGGTCTGTGTGGGGTCTTCATCGGTCGTGGGGTCCGACTGAGAAGTCTTTGCTCTCGTTAGAAAAAGCTACACGGGAAGTGCGAGTTTTTGGATTCTGAAATGTTGTACTCACCACCCGGTCTTGAAAATGACTTGATGGTGGAACTTCTCGGGTTTTAGGGACAACATCTTTGCAGGACTTGAAATGGTAGTTTCCCTAAATGCGGGTACCCCAATCTAGACCCCAAAATACGATGATCCTTATCCTGGGGACCCCAAAATGGTACCCCTAATTGGGGAAGCTCTAAACCCTCCTCCTTTACAACCCCAGAATCTTTCGCCGTGTCAAGCCAGACAAGAGCGCCCAGAGATTGGATGGCCTTTAAAGTGGACCCTAAGAGGGGAGTCAAAGGTGAGAGGGGATTCTCAAGAGAGGGCCTGCTGGAGGAATCCTCATATGGGGAGTCCAAGTTGAGATGTGCGGATACAAAATTGGGTTCAGGATTTAAGCATATTGGGGTTATATAGGGATAGTGGAAAAGAAAATAGAAACTACCATTTAGGGTGAAAGTGGGGGGTTTAGGGCCTTAAGGTTTCATGGGGCTGAGTTCCGGATGTAAGAAACTTGTGTCCAAAGGTTCTGCAATTCAGAGTTCGCAAGGAGTGGAATTGGCCGTTCTTGGGGAAGCTTGTCAAGAGTATTGGGTCCCGAATCTTTGCCTCACAGATTCATGGGTTTGGGAGAGTGTTGAATTCTTCCTGAGGGTTTTTATGGGTGTACTAGGATACGATAGCATCTCAGAATACCTCAAAACAACCCGGTATGAGGATGTCCACAATCATCACACATTTTGGGCAACGGAGCATCTTCCCCACTTATCATAATATTTCTGCTTGGGCCCTCAACAGGGGTCTCGGTGGACAACCGCCCACAAGGGACTGCATCTAAAGCCCCCTTTGTATGCTTGCCATGGTGCCATGCGGACCCTACGGTTAGCCTTTGCTGGCTGCTGATGCAGCCACACGCTCGAAACAGGACGTGATGGTCTTCACTGATCCAGTCCTCAGACTGGCAAACAGAAAGAACAGCTGGCAAGTTCCGTCTTGTGCCGCGAAAGAATTCTATCACCGCAAGTCGCTCCCTGGAACCGCCAGGAAATCAGTAATACAAGACTAACACGCAGGCTCAGTGGTACGTGGATGTACATGCATGCCCGCGGTAATTGTGTCCTTGCAGCTTCCCGAAAAAAATGAACCTTTCACAGCCCGTGTCAAGTCATCCAAAACGGCCGCAAGGCAGTGCAGATCCTCCTGGCTACGCAGACGTGGTCGCAGGTTCCTGGGCTGAGGGTTGCTCCGCAATCTGTTGGTATTCACAACAAAACATTGATCATGTTGCAAGCGCTTTGGGTATTTCGCGCACCTTGGGTATTTCCAGCCTATTTCCAGTGTTTCCCGCACCCTGATTATTACCAGCATCTTTCCCGGGCTTTGGGTATGTAGAGTCATGTGGCATCACCAGTATGATTGCCATGCTTCCTACGTTTCCTGTAATGAAGTACCAGTACGAATAGCAACAATAATATCACGATAACTGTGGAGATTTTCGATGGTTCACTTGCACTAGAGGACAAATGAGGCTTAAGGAGGTGGCTTCTTTTATTCAGGGAGGTCGGGGCGCGGTGGCTTCAAGCGCAAGATTTTGCACTTGACCTGGGCGTCCACCATGCTTGAAAAGATTGCCCGTACATTGTGCAATTGGAGGCAATC